TAACTCGTAAAAAAATAGAGTTTAGCCACACAAAAAACAAACAAGCAAACAAACTAATGGTGAAATATACATCACCCGGCCCTAGTTCGCACTATTACAATAGTAAAATAGCTCCTTAGACCTCTTCAACTTCCTTTTCGACCTCGAGTGACTCCGTACCTACAAGAACTCGACACCGGAAAAGGGTTTTCCGGCGAAGAGCCTCCAATGCTTAAGTCAGTAATAATCCGAGATGATGAACAATAGTGTAGAGAATGTAACTCTAAAACAGACCGATTACTTCCCTTTATATAGGGAAGTGATGTCTTGTTCCCCAAGCTTGCCCGGAGCATTGACCTGGCTGTCCTTGTTGCCCGTCCGTACGATTTGTTGTGCCTATGGTATCTCAGGTTGACAGGTGTCAGATATACAGATGACTCAATCTTCTCCCGACGCGTGGTCCAATCCTCTCATGACGAGGTTTTCCAGATAAATGCCTTTTGCCCTCTTTACTCGGCCGAAACCTCGTCACCAGGTCGAAGCCCTTCGTCTGGTATAACTTGTTCCTCTTCAGTTCCCCTATTACGCAAGTAACATGAGGTCGACTCGACCTCTTAGCCATCTACACTTAGGTCAAATAAGGCTTCCTCCGTTGACCAGGTCGGATTGCGTGGTTTCCTTTGTAGGTTCAAACCGGATATCACAAACAAGCACAAGAACAAAAATTTAATAAATCCTAAACAAACACAGAGGAAAACCTAATTACATAGATTAAATCCTCATCCTTAATCAAACAAACCAATCGCCTCTAGCTCCATCTTAGACCTTAAGCCGTCGACAACCACTTCCAATCGAGCACCACCACCATAGTTGTTGAACACAATTCAACACACTTTCTAATCATTAATTATTATGATGAAACAAGATCTAGACCAAAATATTTGGAACTTGAAAACTCATGTATAACACCAACTAAACTCATGATTGGCCTCTCAAGGGAGTTTGTTCTCGGCTTGCCGTAGGGAAGATCCCTCCAAATCATTCATCTATTCCTTGTTTGATTTTATTGATTACACGTGTATGTATCTTTTTGCCCGTAACTAATAGAGGTAGAGTCTAACAAATGTAGGGTAAATAATCCACCCAAATTTTGGGTGATTAATTGGATCATGAACTATTATATGAAATTACAATGACCATTCATAAAAACTCATCTTTATCATAATTGGGTAGAATATATTTTCAATCATAGGCTTTTGTCCATCTTCAACAATTATTTAGGAGAAAAAATAAAACAAAATTGAATAGCAAAATGAAAATTCTACTTAAAAAAATTGGTCAATTCAAATTCTGCAAATCTATCCAAACCAGCAAACAAAAGACGAAAGTACGAAACACAACTACAACATAAACCCTACTAGCTCACATCCTCCATCTCTACTTGACCGACACGTGGCGTCATCCACCCTCCCTCTAGCCCATGAATTTATTTTTTATTTTATTTTTAAAATAAATAACACAAAATAGAGCAAAATATTTAAATAAAAAGAAAATCCATTTGCCATTTAGGCATGTTCGACCCCTCAACCTACCCTCTCTCTCTCTCTACAAAAACCCAATTGCCATTCACAAATAAAAACAGAACAGAAGATAGCACAAAAACACACACACGCACACAATGGAGGAGAGAAAAGCCACGAATAGCCAGAGCTCCTTGCTAGCTTCTGCTACCGATGACGAAATCATCGTCTCCGGAGTCTTGCTCGATCTCAGATCGCTCGTCTCCCTACCCGAATCTCTGGCGAATTTCAATTGGGGCCGCCGGAGGAGGAGATCTTGCTTGGATGAGGCTCCATCTTTGCTCCCTGAGCCCTCGCATCGTCCGGTGACCTTTCACGTAGCGGGACGCGAAATCAAGGAGATTAAGCTGCGAATCGGTGCGGCGGAGGAGAAAAGCGGCGGCGGCGGCGGCGGCGCCACCGCCAGTCCCACCACGCCGCTGTCCTTCTCGCTCTCTGAATCTGACGATAAATCCAAGTGCGAGAAGATTTCGAAGAAAATGGTGCGCGAGTTTTCCTCAATTTTTTTTTCACTTAGATTTGCGGATCAATTTCTCTATTTTAGTGTGTTTAATTTTGGATGAAGCAAATCGATGAAAATTATTTCCACTTTTTATGCCTTG